GGTCGAGGCTGTGGTGGCCGGGAGCGTGCCATTGCACTCCAGTCTGGGTGACAGAGTGATACTTCAGCTCAAAAAAAAAAAAGAAAAATATATATATTTCAGGATGAGATGGCCCTTGCACCCCACTCACTGCTGGGGGTATCTGGGCACAGAAATGTGAGGTTTCCTGGATATTTCAGGGTTTTGTGGGACCAACAGGAAGGAGTACTTTGTTTTTTATGTGTGGTTTTTAGTTTTTTTTCCGAGGTCAAAGTGTCACTGTCACCCAAACTGGAATGCATTGGCGTGGTCACGGCCACCACAGCCTCAATCTGCTGGGCTCAAGCAGTTGTTCCACCTCAGCCTTCCAAGTAGCCGGGACTACAGGTGCACACCACCACACCTGGCTTTTTTTTTTTTTTTTAATGTAGGGATGAGATGAGGTCTTGAACCCCTGGGCTCAGGCAATCCTCTTACCTCTACCTCCCAAAGTGCTGGGATTACAGACGTGAGCCACTGCACCTGGCAGGAAGGAATATTTCAAAGCAAGACTTTCAGAAAACCGGAGTCCTGTGGCCACACATCTTCCCTTCTCCTGGAGTCTTCGAACTCAGTGTCTCCTTAGTTTAAATTGCCAGTATCTGTGGTCTCTTTTCGCTTATCCGATACATCCTAGTGTTTCACCAGGGCCACACAACTCTCAGGAAAGCTTCACTCCAAATCCTGGGGTGTGGCCTCCCTGGAGCACCTCTCCTTACCCTTCCCTCCCACTGCCACTGCCCCAGCCCAAAGCTACTGTCACCTCTTATCTGACTGATTTGTGACCTCCATCTGGTCTCCTGCTTTATTTCTTGCCAGCCTCTGGTCCATTCTCCATGTGGCATTCAGAATCATCTTTTTTTGTTATTGTTGAAGTCTCACTGCTGCCCAGACGAACCGTAGGCATATGCCACCATGCCCAGCTAATTTTTTGATTTATTGTAGAGTCGAGGTCTTGCCATGTTATCCAGGCTGGTTTCAAACCCATGGGCTCAGGCAATCCTCTTGCCTCTACCTCCCAAAGTACTGGGATTACAGGTGTGAGCCACCGTTCCCGGCTAGAATTATCTTTTTAAAGATATAAATATTGTCATGTCATTCTCTTCTTAAGACCCTTAATTGACTTTTCACTTCAAGGTTAAAACAGCTCTGCCTGGCCAGGCACGGTGGCTCATGCCTGTAATCCTAGAATTTTGGGAGGCCAAGGAAGGAGGATTATTTGAGGCCAGGAGTTCAAGACCAGCCTGGGCAACATAGTGAGACCTCATCTCTACAATAAATCAAAAAATTAACCGGGTATGGTGGCAAGCGCCTGTAATCCTAGATACCTGGGAGGCTGAGACAGGAGGATCACTTGAGTCTCAGAGATCAAGGCTGCAGTAAGCTGTGATTGTACCACTGCACTCCAGTCTGGGCAACAGAGTGAGACCCTGGGACTCAAAAAAGAAAAAAATTAAGGAGGTCCCACCTGATCTGACCCTAGCCTGCCTCAGGGACCACACTTTAGTTGACCTTAGCCACCTGGCCTCCTTCCAGTTCTGAAGGCTCCAAGCCCTTTCTCATCTCACAGTGTGCCACACCTATCTTCCTCTATCTTCCTCATGACTCTGCCTCCTCTCTGAAACCCCTGCCTGCTGTCACCTCCTTGGGGAGGTCTTGCTGACCACCCCATGCAATCTAACATTGTCTTTCTTGTTCATTCTCTATCCTGGCTGGTCTCCAGCAATGCATTTATCCTAAACTAATGTTTATGTAATTCTGTCTACTTGCCAGTTACATCTCCTTGGGTATGTGTCTGTCTCCGCCACTAGATTAAGTTGCTTGAGTCTGGGAGTCGTAGCTGTTTCATCCACCTTTGCACCCTGGCACCTAAGAGAGTATCCAGAACATCAAGGTGACTTCACGGATCAGTGATGAGTGATTGGATGGATGATTAGATGATTGATGGGTGATGAATGGGTGTTAAGTTGGAAGGATGATGAATGGATACATGGTTGAATGGGTGGTGGGTGGGTGGATGCTTGGTTGACTGGATGATGGATGGATACGTATGAGTAAGGTTTTCCACTAAGCTGTCAATTTCCTCAGGGCAGGTACCATATCACAATCAGCTCTGAGCTCCCAGTGCCTACACACAGTATCACTTGGTAAATTTTGGTGGCTTAGCTAGCAATTGAATAGAAGAGTGGGTGCGTGAGTTGAACCTAGTCCTGTGACTGCTTCTTTGCATGTTTGGGACATCCTCCTCACCTACCCTCCTCCCCCGGGACCTGCTCCTTCATGCATGGAGGGTGGCCGGATGTGACATGTGATTGCGTTTCTTGTCCACAGGGGGTGACCTGACCTCAGTGGACCCCATGGTCCTGGAGCAGTATGTGGTGGTGGCCAACTATCAGAAGCAGGAGAGCTCAGAGATCAGCCTCAGCGTGGGGCAGGTGGTGGACATCATCGAGAAGAACGAGTCAGGTGGGACCCAAGACCACACCCCACCTTCTACTGGCACTGAGCCCCCAGGACAGGAAACAGTTGGAAACTCAGAAACTGAGATAGCCAGCAGATGGGCCCATTTCTGTAGAGCCAGTAGAGGGCCTCCAGGTCAGCCGCCCTGATGATCACAGTACTCGCTATCCCACATAGTCACCACTTACCAGCATTCTGTTCGGTCACACGTCATCGATTTCTGCTGAGGTTCATACTTTGTAACATCTTCTAGTTTTCAAGCCCTTGGAGACACGGAGCCCGGCATTCCACTGGAAAGGGACTCTGTTGGTCTGCCTTGATTACCCATGAGAGTCTTCAAGAAGACTGTCTTATGCAGTGGCACAACCACGGCTCACCACAGCCTTGACCTTCTGGACTCAGGCAATCCTTCTACCTCAGCCTCCAGAGTAGCTGGGACTACAGGCATGTGCCATCATGTCCTATTGATTTTTTTATTTTTTGTAGAGATGAGGTTTCACTATGTTGCCCAAGCTGGTCCTGAACTCTTGGCCTCAAGCGGTCCTCCTGCCTCAGCCTCCCAAAGTGCTGGAATTACAGGCATGAGCCATGGTGCCCAGTTGTACATTCTTTATTCCTATTTAGGATGACCTTTCTCTCCCCAGGAGCAAGTTTCTTAGCCCATTTTTAGTAGCTAGCACTGGTTGTTGTGTTCCCAGTAACATGGTGACTTTTCAGCCGGGCTCAGTGGCTCAGCCTGTAATCCTGCGCCTTTGGGAGGCTGAGGTGAGTGGATTGCCTGAGCCTGCGGGTTCGTGACCCACCTGGGCAACTTGGTGAGACCTCATCTCTACAATAAATCAAAATGAGCTGGGTGTGTTCGCGCACGCCTGTAATTCCGGCTACTCAGAAGGCTGAGGCGGAAGGATCGCCGGAGCCTAGCAGGTCAAGGCTGCGGTGGCCGGGAGTGGCCACTGCACTTCAGTCTGGGTGACAGAGTGAGACTCCAACTCAAAAAAAAAAAAGGTGACTTTTCAACTTTACCCTGTGCATTAACTGGTATCGTGGCTGAATATATTACTACATTCTGACATCCAGGCTTCACCCTTAGCCCAGCTAACAGCAGCATGCACTCTTCTTTCCCCAGGCTGGTGGTTCGTCAGCACTGCAGAGGAGCAAGGCTGGGTCCCTGCAACGTGCCTCGAAGGTCAGGATGGGGTACAGGACGAGTTTTCACTGCAGCCTGAAGAAGGTAGGCCAGAGCTGGAGCCGTGAACCCACACAGCTGTCACCCATACAGCGTTGCCTCTCCTCAGTCCTACCCTTCGGCCTCTGCTTCAGAGTCTCAGCATCCCTTGGGCTCAGGGCTAAGGGGCAAGCCCACCCATTCTTAGGGCCTTTGGGAGCCAACCTGGGTGAGTCTGTCCAAAGCTAGGGCCCTCACTCCTCATGGCACCCCAGCAGGGCCCTGGCCTGATCCCTGTCAATACCTCCCTATTCCTCCCTAGAGTGATCTAGCAGGGTTCTGCTTGCCAACATCCTGGCTCTGCTTCCGGCTCATTTGCAGGACATTTGACTCCATCTGCTTAAAGGCCTCGGCTTTCTATATTGGTTTAATGGCCCTGACGGGATGTCTTCCCCCACGGACCCCCTCCTCTCACCCACATGCACACTTCCGTTGTTTCCTGGGGGACCTTCCCCACAGATGTCCTGAATGGGGATTCCTGCCGCACCAGAAATACTAAGGGCCAACCAGTTCTCTTTCTCCACTAGAAGATTCCCAGAACTTGAGCATAAGTTCACCCCCAATAACAAATGGGGACTTTTCGGCAGGGGCAGAGCCAGGGAGGTGTGCCCTGCCGAGATCACTGCTTCTTTGCCCCCTCCCTGCTTCTTCCTCCCCTTCTCCTCACCCTCAATAAAACAGTTTGGCACCTCAAAATAAAAAATAAGTTAAGCGGCCGGGCTCGGTGGCTCAGCCTATAATCCCAGCACTTTGGGAGGCCGAGGTGAGTGAAATACCTGAGCCTGCGGGTTCGAGACCTGCCCGGGCAACTTAGTGAGACCTCATCTCTACAATAAATCAAAAATTAGCCTGATGTGGTAGCGTGCATCTGTACTTCCAGCTACTTGGAAGGCTGAGGCAGAAGGATCACCAGAGCCCAGCAGGTCAAGGCTGCAGTGACTGAGAGCCGCCACTGCACTCCAGTCTGGGTGACAGAGTGAAACTTCCAACTCAAAATAAATAAATAAGCAAATAAATAAGCGGAGGACTTTAGAGTCAGACAGATGTAAGTTTTTGGTTTTTTTTTTTTGAGTCGGGTCTCACTCTGTTGCCCAGACTGAAGTGCAGTGGCACCATCATGGCTCACCACAGCCTCAACCTTCTGGACTCAGGTGATCCTCCCAAATAGCTGGGACTACAGGTGTACGGCACCATGCCCAGCTAATTTTTTTATTTTTTGTAGAGATGAAGTCTTCCCATGTTGCCCATGCTGGTCTCAAATTCCTGGGCTCAAGCAATCCTCCCACCTCAGTTCCCAAAGTGCTGGGATTACAGGCATGAGCCACCGCGCCTGCCTGGATACCACTTCACTGGAGTTCAGGGTTAATACTCAGGGACTTGGTCTTTCTAAGGTGTCTGGGCCTTGAATAGTCTCAGAAGCAACACTGTCCTGGGTAGAAACATGCGCTGGTGCCCCTTTGCCTCTAAACGTTGCGGTACTTTCTTCTCACCTCTGCCCTTCTCACCCCACACGCTGCCCATCCAGTCTCACGGAGGTACTGGTCTTTGCCCCGGTCTGTGGGCCGTCGCCGGACTCTGGGGGACTTGTGTGCCATCAGCTGGCGTCAAGGTGCCTGCCTCGGAGTTCTTTTCCCTTTTGGTGCTCAGAGCTGGGTCCCTGCGTCTGCATGAGCCTCCCTGCTCAGGGGCTGCCCGTGCCTGTTGCATGTCACAGACGGTGCTCTTGTCTGTCGTGTGTGTGTGCGCGTGCTGGCATGTGGGTTTGGGAGGAATGAGCCTGGGGTCTTAAGCAGAAGGGGAGGTATGCTGATCACGTCACCAAAGAGCCGGAGGTAGATCTGGTCCAGCGTGGCTGTATCCAGGGCCTCGAAATATCGTCAGGACCAAGACATTCTCGCCACCTCTCTGCTTTTTGGGACCATTCTCTCATGATGACAGCAGGTCCAGGCACCTTTCAGAGACTTCGCCAAAGAACACAGGTCCCAGGATTGGCTCCAACTGACCCACTCAGATCCCTTGCCATCCTGAACCAATCACGATGGCCCAGGGATGGCAGCACATTGTCTGGGCCAGGGTCACACCCCCACCCTTCCCTCCAGGAGGTGGTGAGCGAAGCCTCATCCAACCCCGTGGACGGAGGCCAGTGGTACCACGGGAGGAAGGGCAAGTACACGGTAGGGGGTGCTGTCTACAAGGTCTTCCACTCTCCCCTTTGTCTGGAGTCACTGAGCATCCCATGAATGCCAGAGAGGGCCTTAGGTGGTAGAAAATCCTTGTGTGGGATTCAGCAGACGTGTGCAGGGCCCCAGGAGTCCAGGGCTCATAGGGCTGACTGCACATAGTGTAGGGGCCAGGCAGCGCTCTTCCCACTCGGCCCAGTCAATGTCTATGCCTCTGCGAGTTGGGTTCCTGCCTCCAGCCCCGCAGCCCAGCCTGCAGCTTCCATGCTTGGGAAACAGCTGGCTCTGCTGAGCTCAGGCTGTGTGCAAGTTGAGTCAGCACAGAGCAGGTCGGCAGGCCAGATCAACACATAAACAAGCGCCCTGCGTGTTCCCCACCTCCCTGTGCACCAGCTGGGCATGCCACAGACAGCTTGTGGTGTTTTCCCCAAGAAATCGAGCCTGCCCTGGCATACTCACCAGGGACACTGGGCCCAGCTGGCTCCTCACTCGCAGGGGGCTGAAATGGAACCAAAACAGGAAAGCCCTCCCCTCCTGCTGGGCTCCCCTGGGATTGCATACATTTCTTTCCATTCCAGTAGCCTGGAGCTGTTGCCTGGCTCTCTGGAGCGCCCAGCATGAGTGCAGCAATGAGCAACCCACCCAGCAGAGTCCAGGCCTTCGGGGGGCTGCCATTTGGGAGGCAGCTCTTGGGGAGGAGGGTGGGACCCTAGGGTAGTCTTCTCAGCTTCAGTGACAAGGAAAGAGGAACCTCAGAGAGTGGGGTCACAGTAATGAAAACTGAAGCTTCAAGCATGGTGGGATTTGGGAACTTGAACGTAATTAATGAAAAATGAAGATTGGTGAACAGCTAGGTAATGAAAGTTGGTAGTCGTGTCCTCCTTGGTGGTGATTTCCGCCTGAAATCATCAACTGCCAAGTTGAGCTTCTGCCTGGACGTTCCACCAGCAAGAACTGGCTGCTAGGACCCGGCAGGGAGCCACAGAGGGCTTAACTCCCTCTAGCCTGCCCTGTGTGCAAGGCAAAGCGGCTCTTGCCAGGCCTTCGGGTCTTGTTCATTCACCAAACACTGGCTGATTGACTGAAGAGTTACTACAGATTCCAGGCCCCAGGCCCAGAGCCAGAGACAGACAAAGCCTTGCCTTCATGGAGATCATATTCTAGCAGAGGAAACAGACATGAAACCCAATAAATAAGTGTATGTTGTATTACAAAGTCATTCCTAGCCAGGCGCGGTGGTTCACACCTGTGATCCCAGCACTTTGGGAGGCCAAAAATGGGCAGATTACTTGAGCCCAGGAATTCAGTACCAGTGACATAGGAAGACCTTATCTCTTCAAAAAAATTTAAAAGTTAGCCAGGTGTGTTGGTGTGCACCATAGTCCCAGCTACTCATGAGGCTGAGACAGAAGGATTGCCTGAGCCCAGGAGGTTGAGACTATGGTGAGCTGTGATCATGTCACTGCACTCCAGCCTGGGAGACAGAATGAGAATCCGCCTCAAATAAAAATTTTAAAATTAAGATAATTCCTGGTATTGGGGGGGAAATAAACCAGGAATAGGGAGATGAGGATGCCATGAGTTGGATTATTGTATAAGGTGTTCAGGGAATGTGATCTTGAAGCATGGATTTGAGTGAGGATGACTGTGTGATGCCGAGGGTTTTCAAAGGGATCAAGACCTGTCCTCTGTCCTGTTGCTCCCTGCCCAGGGTCACTGAGAACCAAGTCAGGACCTGAGGGGTGCACAGAAATCTCTTGAGGAAATCTTCCCACGATGGGCAAGGGCATCACCTGAATCACAACGTCCAGGGATACTCAGTGCCCTCTTCTGAGCCCGGCATCCTTTTGTCCCCACAGAGGAGAAGTACACAGTCATCTACCCATACACAGCTCGGGACCAGGATGAAATGAATCTGGAGAGAGGAGCCATGGTGGAGGTCATTCAGAAGAACCTGGAAGGCTGGTGGAAGATCAGGTACCCACCGCCGCCCCCACTGTAGCTGGGCAGGCCTGGGGTCGCATGGACCCTGGCTTCACAGAGGCCTGCAAGTAGTTGTGGAGGGCAAGTTTCTGCCTGAACCACACAAGGACGCTTCTCTGTGTTGCTCTGCCTCCTTCCCTGCCTGTATCCTTCCCTAAAAGTCCATGTTCGGAACCTCCTCCAAACACACCAGACCAGACAGCAGCAGCCCAGTCAAGCATCTCCGTCTCCAGATGTGTCTGGTGGTACATGATGGGAGACTGAGGCTGGCCCGTGAGCGATGGCCCATGCCTGCCCCACTCTGAGACCAACAGGGTGTGTAGATGCCACACCACTGTCATTCATTCCAGGCTGATAATGCGCTGTCATCTTGCCACAGCTTGTCTACCTCCGATGAAATCAGAACCTCCCAGGCAGGCAGGGTGACCGTCCCAGGTTTTTGTGTGTGTTTTTGAATTGGGGTCTTACTCAGTTACCCACGCTGGAGTACAGTAGCATGGTCTCAGCTACGGCAGCCTCAACCTCCTAAGCTCAAGTGATCCTTCCACCTCCTGAGTAGCTGGGACTCCAGGTGCACACCACCACGCCTGGCTAATTATTTCAGAGACGAGGTCTTACTGTGTTGCTCAGGCTGGTCTCAAACTCCTGGCCTCAAGCAATCCTCCTCTCGCCTCAGCCTCCCAATGTGCTGGAATTACAGGCGTGAGCTACTGTGCCTGGCCTGTTTCATTCTTAAAGTGATTCTTGACAAGAAATTCGGTCCTGCCACATGTCACCTCCAGTCCATTGGGTCTGTTCATCTTTCTCCAATGATGTGGCCACCCATTTTGTGGGTGGTGATACATGTTTAGCAACCAGCTCTCCAAGGGAAAACACTCTGAGTGATGGTGTTTGCCAGTTGCTGAGGTGTAAACACTCCCTCCATGGCCAATTTTGGGGTGCCCCTGTGATGTCACTACATGTGGCATTTGGGAGGGATGTGACAGTCGGCTCTCACAAGCAGATGTGAGCTTGCTGCATCACACCTGTGGCCCAAATGGACCCCTGTGGTCCTCGCTCTTAAACTAAATTCCATCCTGCAGAGGATTCAGTGATTGTTACCCTCATTGAATCCTGTTTTGGGGGACAGTGAACTGGTCTGTCAGGGTCTCAGTCATTCTGTGGTTCATTGATGACTGGCTGACATTTGACCTGTGTCACTACCCTCTGAATGTGTAATCTCCATGTTGACTGGCGTGAACGAAGTTCTACCCTGTGCCAGACTGTGCACCAGGGGCCAGGGCTATGGGGAAGAGGCGGCAATGCCGAGGCTTAGCGCACAGGCTGGTGCCCGGCTGGCTGGGTGGGACATGGCACTTGCCAGGAGAGAGGCAAACGGGCTGGTAAGGCCTTGAATGCCTTTCTGAGGGCTTAGGCTTCGCCAGGAGGCAGTGAGTGGTATGCCAGCCTCTGGCCCCGGGCAACCACGACTCGTGGCTACTGCCCTCTGGAACCTGATCTGTGACTCCCAGCAGGAGTGTGGCTTCTTTCATGGGCCTGGCAGACCAGCTTGACCAGCATCCCTCCTCCTTCCAGGCACCAGGGCAGAGAAGGCTGGGCCCCCGCCTCATACCTGAAGAAGAGCAGTGGGGAGCCCCTGCCTCCCAAGCCGGGGACCGGCTCTCCTGCCCACTCGGGCACCGACTTTGATGGCATCTCCCGGCAGCAGAACGCCGCAGGCAGGGACAAGGAGCTGCTCAATAACCAGAGGGACGGCCGACTCGAAGGCCGTGCGGCACCCGACAGTGACTCTAAGCAGCGTGAGTGACACCTGCCTGAGCTCCAGCAGCCAGGGTGACTTGCATCTTGTCCCCCGCCTACACAGCTGCACTGCTGCCCCCGCCTAGTGATCAGGAAAAGGGCTCAGAAGCCCCGGGTAGCTTGTTCCAGATCATTAAACCATTGAGGTGGTGCAGGGTCAGTCGGGAGACGTTGCTTTCCTGCCCCTGGCTGTTATTTCACTGCCTCATGATCATGCTAGCTACCTTTTTTTTTTGAGTCGGGATCTCCCTCTGTCACCCAGGCTGCAGTGGCACTATCACAGCCACTGCAGTCTCGACCTTCTGGGCTCAGACAGTCCTGTCTGCCACGGGCCAGGAGCTTCACAGATGTTTCCTTTCATCTGCACCACTGTCCCCAGGAGGCACACATTATGCCCCTTCTACAGAGGAGGGTCTTGTGACTCAGAGTCCAGCAATCTGTGCACAGCCAATGGCCAGCCAGCCTCGTGGCTAGAGGGGACCCATCCCTGTGTTACGCAGAAGCCTACGCTGTTTGCCCTTCCTGGGAGATTTTTCAATGCTGGAGAGCTGAGCACCATCCTCTTCCACCCTGTGTAGAAAATATCCAGAAGCCTCGATGAGGGCAGCACCTTCCCACCCTAGATCTTTCCGTGGGAAGGTCGCAGTGGCATGCTGACTCCTGTCCTCCATCTTCAGCAGAAGACAGTCAGCCCCTCCCAGTATTCAGCTCCAAAATCGTATCTATACTCTTCCTGTGAGTGAAACAAACTCTGGTTTTTCCATAGGATCACCAAAGATGAGGCAGAGACCCCCTCCTCGCCGGGACATGACCATCGTAAGTGGACCCTGCCCCGGGCCCTCCCACGCCCCTTGCCTTTGCAGAGTGCTCTCTCCCTGTCCACAAGCAGCCTTGTGAGGCAGGCTGGAGGAGCACGAGCCCCATTAACAGAAGACTGAGGTTTAGGCGGGTGAGAGGGTTTGCTCTGGAGTGTGCTTGTGACAGTGCTCCCTGCTTCCCGGGCCCACTTTCTCTGTCTTGGGTCAGTCTTCTCAAATGAGGCAGCCTGAGGCCCACGTGGGAAGAGGTGCAAATGCCATTTGTGGTGCCATTCTCATGTTCTACTTTCATACTCCAGTTTTTAATTTTCTAGGTACCCTTTTAGTCAATACTTTAATTTTATTTTTTTATTTTTTTAGCGACTGGGTCTTGCACTGTTGCCCAGGCTGGAGTACAGGGATGCAATCGTAGCTCACTTCAGCCTCATCTTCCTGGGATCAAGGGATCTTCCCACCCCCACCTTCAGTCTTCTGGGTAGCTGGGACTACTGGCATGTGCCACCTCACTCAGCTAATTTTTAAATTTTTTATAGAGAAAAAATCTTGCTATATTGTCTAGGCTGGTCTCAAATCCTGGCTTCAAACAATCCTCCTGCCTCAGCCTCCCAAAGTGCTGGGATTACAGGTGTGAACCACCATGCCCAGACCAATGCTTCAAAAAATATGCTTTTTAAAAAATGCTTGCCATGTATTGAGCACCTGTTAGGTGCCATGCAATGTGCTGGGCACTTTACTCCATTAACTTACTTAATACTTGCATCGACCCCACCAAGTGGATACTGTCTTTGTTTGTTTGTTGGTTTGCTTGTTTTTTGAGGCAGTCACTCTGTCACCAGGCAAAGTGCAGTGGCACGCTCACGGCCACCACAGCCTCAACCAGCAAGAGACAAGGTCTTGCCAAGTTGCCCAGGCTGGTCTCGAACCTGTGGACTCAGGCAGTCCTCTCGCCTCAGCCTCCCAAAGTGCTAGGATTATAGGCATGAGCCACCACACCCAGCTAGATATTGATGCTATACCCATTCTACAGGAGAAAAAACCAAGGCTCTAGAAGGGGAGGTGATTGACCCAAGGTCACATCTACCATTAGTACTTCCAACAAACCTGTGTTCTTCCCACGATCCTCACTGCCTCTTATTCCAGAGAATATTGTCATGTCCCAAATTTACATAATCTTAGCCAGTTGGCCCATGTTTCTGCCTTCACTCTAAAGCTGGAGGGCCAATAAGAGCCCATCTAGGTGATGACAGCCTGTGTGATCCTCTTTGTTTTAGCCCTTATAATCAAACTAGGTCCATAGCGCTCCCTCAAAGATGGTGGTCCCTCAGTCCCACCCCAATACAGCGTTGCAGTAGCACATGTAACATTGGACTTTGCCTTGTGTTTAATCATACCAGCCTCGAGGCCTCAACCTCCCTAAGCCTCCCATCCCACCCCAAGTGGAAGAAGAGTATTACACTATCGCTGAGTTCCAGACAACCATCCCAGACGGCATCAGCTTCCAGGCAGGCCTGAAGGTCGAGGTGAGTGGCCCTGGTGCCCTTTGTCTACTTGTGATTTTTTTTTTTTTTTTTTTGAGTTAAGGTCTCACTCTGTCACCCAGGCTGGAGTGTAGTGGCATAATCATGGCTCACTGCAGCCTTGATCTCCTGGGCTCAGGCAGTCCTCCCGCCTCAACCTCCTGAGCAGCTGGAACTACAGGCACCCACCACCACATTGGCTAATTTTTTGTAGAAACGAGGTCTGGCTATGTTGCTCAGGCTGGTCTTGAACTCCTCGTTGCTCAGGCTGGTCTTGAACTCCTCGTCTCACGTGATCCTCCTTCCTCAGCCTCCTGAGTTTCTGAGATTACAGGCATGAGCCACCATACCCATCCTCAAAGCATATGTTTATATGTATTCACAGGACTCTTTTGCTTGTGTCAGTTACTCAGACTGCCAGAGCAGAAATCACCACCACCACCATCATCATCACTATGCAGGTGCTGCAGGGCTGCCTTCAAGCGAGGCTAGCTGCAGAGGGCTGCACAGTGTCAGCAGGGCCATATAGTGTCAACAGGACTCATCTTTCTGCTGCCTATCGCCATTCTCCTCCAAACTGGCTTCCTCCAGACTTTTCCCGGGAGCGAGGAAGGTGGCCCAGCAGGTCTAGGCTCATGGCCCATGTCCTCGGCAATCCCAGGAGCTCCAGTTCAGGCCCAGAATCGTGTCTTATGGGGCTTTGGCCAGCCTACCTCAAGTCCCCACCCTTACAGCTCAGATGGGATGAGGGGGGCCCAAGGAGAACAGAAGGGGAGAAGATGAGCAGCGACAAAGGCAGCAGAAGCCCCTGGGACTTCATGCCCCCTTTATCTTCCCTCTGCTTTACTGGACAGCATTAAGTGTATTGTCCCATGGATGAGGAAACTGAGAAGTTGAGGTACAGGTGCCAGAGCTCATTCTTTGCAAAGTTGGTGGTGAAGCCCAGGTTCTAGCTTCAGCTTCGTCTTCACTTTCTTTGCCACACGGCAGGGACAGGTTTGCTCTCAGGGGAAGGGTCCAGTGGTTTGCAAGACTTCTGCCCACCCCCCTATCACTTCCGGTTTCCCTTCCCAGTTGCCATGACAACAAGTGCTCCCTTCCCCTCCAATGGCCCAGGGCTCCAGCTTCCGCTTCAGGGCTTTGGTGCATTGGTTGGTGGGGTGGGAGGGTGGTGATTATAGTGCGTCCTCTTTATGTTCTTAAGAACATAAACTTCTTAAGACCAGGGACTTTGTCTGTGGTGTTCACAGCAGTGTTCTCAGCCCAGAGCCTGGTTTGTGGCTGATTCTTGGTAAACAATTGTTGAATGAATAAACGCATCCTGTTGGGTTGCAAAGCCCCAGGAATGATTTGAGAAGAGCCTCATGCAGAAAGCTCTCGGGTTGCCCCGCCTGCCTGTCCAGCCCTGCCTGTCCTTCAGGCCTCATTGCAAATTCTCCTCTGCAGCCTTCCCTGGTTTAGGGGTTCCTCCTGTGATTTGCTTAGAAACCAACAGATCAAGGATGAGAATATTAACAGCTAGCATTTATTGAGTGCCGACTAGGTGCCAGGCACTAGACTAAGCATTTGACAGCAGTATCTTGCTTAATGGTTTGACCACCGGCTCTTGTGAGATGGAAATGTTATTATTCCCCATTCTTCCAATGAGGGCACCGCGGCTCAGAAAAGTTAAGGTGCTGCCGAATATGACAGCCAGGATTTGAACCCATATCTTTCTCCAGCTTTGAACCAGGAAATTTAACAGTCGTTTGTTTATTTGTTGGCTTGTTTGTTTTTTGAGTCGGGAATCTCACTCTATCACCCATGCTGGAGTGTAGTGGCATGATCATGACTTACCACAGCCTCAACCTCCTGTTCTCAGGGGATCCTTCTGCCTCAGCCTCTCAAGTAACTGAGACTACAGGTGCACACCACCACACCATGCCAATTTTTTTCTTTTTTGTAGAAACTAGGTCTCACTATGTTGCCCAGGCTGCTTTCAAACTCCTGGGCTCAGGCAATGCTCCCACCTTGGCCTCCCAAAGTGCTAGGATTACAGGTGTGAGCCCACTGCACCCGGCCTATTTTTTGAACTGAACTTGGCATATCAAAAATCCAACTCGGGTGGGCTCAGTGGCTCAGCCTATAATCCCAGCACTTTGGGAGACCAAAGCAGTGAACTGCCTGAGCCTGCAGGTTCGAGACCAGCCTGGGCAACTTGGTGAGACCTCGTCTCTACAAAAAATTTTAAAAATTAGCCAGGTACGGTAGTGCACACCTG